GCGCGTCACGTCAAGGCAAAACGCGACGCCCTGTCACAGTCCCTCGCCGCCTCTCATCGCCCAGGGGCCCAGGGCCCAGGGGCAAGCAAGGGCCCTCCTCGAAGCGCCGCCAGGCGCAAGGGGGGAGCGGCGCAAAATCAGGGGATGACGCGGGGCAATGGGGGGGGGGGAAGAGGAGGCGGGGCGGTCGGGAAGAGACCGAGGAGCCCCCCTCTTCTCCCATCTCGCTCCGCCACCCCATGCAGTTATCCTGCTCCTGCTCCTCTTCCTCCTCGTCCTCCGCCCCCCTGATAGTCTCCTTGTTATCCTGCTCCTCCTTCGCGTTCCTCGTCCTCGCGTCGCCGTCTCACCAACAATGACCCAATCGCACAATGGCCCCGCCCGAGCCCTCTCGACCTCCTCCTCGCCCTCGCTACCCCCGCGCCCGTGGGCGGCGGCAGCGGCGGAGCTCGCGGAGGTACCCCCTGGCCCAACGGCGCGCGCTCTGGCTGGACGAGGCCGCAGCTCTTGGGCACCGGCCGGTCGGCGGACGACGAGTCGCTGGAGGCGTCGTCAGACTGGTCGTCGGAGCTGGGCCCGCCCTGACGATCGCGGCGGGCGACGGCGATCGGGCGGCGGGCAATGGGGAAGAGCGGGAAGTAGGGCGCACGGGGGGCCAGGGGAAGGGGAATGGGGAACGGCGGAGGAAAGGCAAGGGGCAAGAGGGAATGGGGGAATGGGAACGCGAGAGGAATGGGAACGCGGAGGAATTGGAACGGCGCAGCAGGGAATCGGGCAAGGGGAATGGGGAACGACGGAGGAGGGGCCAGGTCCGGAGGCGGATGGGGAAGAAGCGTTGGCGTTGGCCGCGCGGGCGCGGCTTGTCCTCGACGTCTGTGAGCTCCGCCATGGCCGCGTCGCCCACCGCCGCGGCGTCGGCACCCTCGTCGGCATCGCTCAAGGCCGCCACGGGGTCCTGGCGGCGCTCTTCCATCTGCTGCTAATCCCCCTGCTGCTGCTCCTCCCTCCCCCCTCCTCGTCTTCCCTCTGATGATCCCTCATTTCCTCCCAAACTCCCCCTCCTGCTCATCCGCCTCCTCTTCCTTCTCCTACCCCCCCCCCCTCCTTCTCCTCATCCTCTTCCTCCTTATCCTCCCCCTCCTCTGCTGCTCTTTCCTATGCTGCTCCTCCTTCCTGTCGCCGATCCCCCTTCCTCCTCCGCTGCTACTCTTCCCACTGCCGCTGCAAACTCCGCCGAGGGGGGAAGAGGTCCGAGGTTCAAGGAGGAGGAGGAGGAGGAGGAGGAATAGGGCATAAGGGGGGAGGAGAAGATAGGCGGAGGAGAAGTTCTGAGAAGGATATTCGGAGTTCGGAGATAGGGGGGAGAGAAATTCTGAGAAAAACTGATGGCGCGGGCCCAGCGTCGGGCTGGGCGTCGGCGGGGCGTCGGGCTGGGCGCCGGGCTGGGCGTCGGGCCGCTCACGCGGGGCGCGCTCGGGAGGCGGCGGGGCGGGCTCGGGAGGCGCCGTCTTGGGGCTCTTGGGCCGTCTTGGAGCCATCCTTGAAGCCTCTTGGGCCGTCTTGGGTCGCGCGCTGTCTCCCCCCTTATATACATATCCCCCATCCGCCTCTCTCATCCTCTCTTTCGTGATTGCCTATATATATATATCGTTGCGTCGTTCCCTGGGCCCCTCCCCAAAATATTTATGGATGCGTCGGAGGTTTGGAGTGCGTGAGGTCGACCACGGGATTGATAGTGAGATCGGTAGTGACCTCTTAGGTGAGGTCGATAGCTTGGTCTAGACTGTGAGCGATAGTTGGATCGATACTGAGATCCACCATTCAGTGAGATCGATGATGTTATCGATAGTGAGGTCGATGTGAGGCTCGAGGGCCCAGTCCCAACTCACGCGGGGCCAAACACCCGACAGCGCCCTACAGCACGGACCATTCGGGCGACACTAAGCTGATGATCTCGGCCGCGCTCAGCTGGAGCCGCACGGCCCGCCCCCGCAGCCGCCGCCCGCGCCGCCTGCAACTCGGCGGCGTGGCAGTCCCGCTCCGCCTCTGCCATCTCCATGCGCTCCGCCGCCTCCTGGTAGGGCTTGCACAGCTCCGCTATCTCCTCCCAGCGCAGCTGCGCCTCTGCCATGGCATCGTCGACCTGCATCTCGGCGTGCAGCAGCCTCATGGCGTGCAGCAGCCTGGTGGCAGCTTCCTCGATCACCTCATCGGCTCGGCCAGCCAACTCCTCGGCCCCGCCAGCCACCTCCTCGCCAGCCTCGGCTCCGCCAGCCACCTCCTCGCCAGCATCGGCTCTGCCAGCCGCCCCCACGGGGCTCCGCGACCTCGGCGGCGGCGAGGCGGCGCCAGGCCTTGGCGCCTCCTCGCGCGCGGACGGCCTGGACCTGGAGTCGCGCTCGGCGACCACGGCTCCGCCAGCCACCCAATTGCCAGCCGTGGCCGCCGCGATGCGGAGCGGCGGTATCACGCGCGGCTCCGGGCACGTGCCGCGGCGCGGCGGCACCTGGAGCGCCGCGGGAGGAGGGTGCCGCGGCGCCGTCGGCCTCGCATTCGCCAGGAGCGCCGCGGGAGGAGGGTGCCGAGGCGGTCTCGGCAGCATACTGGGCGCCGAAGCCGCGAGCGCGCCACCACCTCGACCCCCAAACGGCTGCGGAAGCCGCTGAGCTGATGGTTGGCCATCGGGGCCTTATCGATCTCATTATCGAGCACAACCAACCGATCACACTATCGATCATGTTTTATCGATCTCATCCAATCGACTTCACTTCATTCAATCGATGTCGATGCCATCCAATTGATATAGATATCGGCGTCGAATAGATCTCACTATCGATCTCACCCAATCGACCTCATTACCGATGCCACTCTCGATTCGAATATTGGTTCGAATGTCCACCTGATGCGTTTGGGGAGGGGTGCGTCCTCCCCCTTCGGTGGAGCTCCCTATGGGGCCACGAAGCGTTGTCCTGGGCGGGGGAGGCGCCTGCGAGCTGCGCCACTGGGGTCCTCGGTGGAGAAGCTAAGCTGAAGCGGGCGGAGACGGAGGGGGGACAGGGGGCAGCGGGGGCGGAGACGGAGACATGGGGACAACAAGTCTGGGGAGATGCCAGCGGCCGCCTGGCTGGCCTCGCCCGCGGCCGCCGCGGCCGGGGGCGGCGGCGACGGCGACGACGGCGGCGGCGAAGGCGGCGCCGCCATCGCCGGGAAGGCCCGAGAGGCGGAGAGAGGCGGAGAGAAGAGAGGAGGGAGAGGAGGGAGGGAGAGGAGGGAGACGGGAGAAGGGAGGGAGAGGAGGGGAGGGAGAGGAGGGAAAGGAGGGGAGGGAGAAGAGAGAGAGGGAGGGGGGTGAGGGGAGCAAGGAGATGGGGGGGGGGCCGGCCTCTGCCTGGGACCACATGTGATTGAGGATTGATAATTGAGGTTGAGGACCAAGCTTCGATGGAGAATGTCGAGAATTTTGAGGGCCGAAGTTCGGGGCTCGAGGTCCGAGGATCGAGGTCGACGTCGAGGTCCGAGGATCAACCGTCGAGTCGAACTTCGAAGTCGAGCGAGGATCGAGGCTCCAACATCGCGGGGCGACGTCGGCAGACTACTGGGCGACGGCACCGACCACGACGCGACGACATGGACGACGACGACGACGACGGGGGGTCGCCCGACAACCGCTTTGGACCACGAAGCCGAAGGAGGAGGACCGTTCTGTTCAACCCCCTTCTTCCCATTCGCCCCCCCAACCCCTCCGGGCCTGGACGGGGGGGGTCCCGCGGGTAGTTGGCGCGTATGTTTTGGCCCAAGATGGCGCCAAAAGGGCCCGGGAGAACTCAAGATGACCTCAAGATCGCTCAAGATAGCCCTCGATGACTCAAGATAGCTCCCATCATGTCCACAAGAGGCTCCAATGCCGCCCCGCGACGGATCCAAGTGCCGCGGAGCCTCCCAAGGACGTCCCCGAGAGGGCCAAAATCCTTCAAACACTTCAGGATTATCAATGCTTTTGCCTTCTCGTTTTTTCGATTCCGATGGGCTCTCGAGGCCTCAAAATGGCCCCACGATGGCCCAAGAGAGCCCCAAGGCGAGCCCAAGAGAAGCCCAATGCGGGCCCAAGAACGCCCAAGAGCGCCCCAAGAGAGGCCAAAGAGGGCCCCAAGGGAGGATGAGGAGGAGGAAGGAGGAGGGGCCCTTTGGACACTCGCCGCGACGAGCTTCGCGCGCGCGGCACCAGCTGGATGCGTCGGCGTCGGGCCGGGGGACGGGCTCGGCGTCGAGCTGAGCGTCGGGCTCGGCCGTCGCGCTCGGCGTCGGGCTGGCCGTCGAGGACATGCGTGCCCGGCTTCATCAATCGAATAACCAATGAACGTTTTGAAAGTGGTGATCGCCAGTGGCACTCGCGCGCTGCCGGCGGGCTGGGCGACAGGCTCGGCGTCGAGCTGGGCGTCGGGCTGGGCGACGGGCTCGGCGTCGGGCTGGCCGACGGGCTGGGCGTCGGGCGCCGATGGAGGAAGGGGGGGGCGACGACGACAACGAGGAGGGCGAGGACGAGGGATCGAGAGAGGCGAGGGACGAGAGAAGGAGGAGGCCGACGACTACGAAGAGAACGAAGGACGAGGACTACAGAGGAGGAGGGGGCGCCTACGGCGGCGCCGCCCGCGGCGGCTCCTGGGCCGCCCGGGCCTCCCGGGCGGCCGCGGCGGCGGCGGCCTGATCGAGCTGCCTCACCAAGTTCTCCCACTCCGCCAGCTCGGCCACCTGGGGGGGGGGGGGGCGATGTACACGCCACGTCGTTGGGTCGGCCGCGGATCGGTGCATAGACGCCCCCCGCTTCCGGACAGGCGGGGGCTGGAGCTCCTATGCACAAACCTCCTTGGTTCTCGGCCGACAAAACGAGAGGTGCACATCGGGGCCCTCCGAACACACCCGCCAGGTGCGCCACCAGCCGCACCCTGGGGGGGGAGGAGGAGGGGCAGGAACACTTACCTGACCGATTTTCTCTCCCCGACCTGGAACTCGCCCCGGTAGAGCCGCAGCAGATCCTCGCGCGGGAGCTGGCGGAGCCTGAGCGTGAGGATGCGCAGCTCCTCCGCCTCGGACCGCTGCGGCGGCTGCTGGGCCCCGGGCCGGCTGTCGGGCGGGGCGTGCTGGAGCTCCTGGGCGAAGATCTCGTCGACCTCATCCTGGTCGGGCGCGGCCGAACTGACCCCCCCAGCAAATCGCGCCCTTCCACGACGCCCCCCTCGACGTCCACCTACTGGAACCTCGAGGGGCCGTCGCGCGGAAGGGCGCGGGTTGCTAGGGGTGGGCTCGCCCGCCCCGAGGGGTGGCCACGTGGCGGTCGAGCGCCGTCGGCTCCAGGCCCACGCGGCGAGCGATTTCGCGGCGCGCTTGACCCCTCGTCCTGGGAGGGCGCCAACTATACACCTACACCGAGCTTGGCCGATCCTGGGCGCAAGATCGGCGTATACGCCCGCCCGGCTTGGCCAGGAAAGCACATGCGCCAATCCTGGGCCTAGGTAGGGCCTAGGATCGGCCTGGCCAGGATCAAGGATCGGTGTAGGTGCACAGTTGGCGCTCTCCGACCAGCGCTGTGCGCCCTCGAGCCCCTGCTCAGCGAGGAACTCGCTGATGGCGACGCGCACGACGAGGTGGCGGCCCTGGTGGGCCGGGTGCAAGTCGGTCACGGAGCTCGGGATCCGCCAAATCGCCCAAGAAGGGCAGGGCCCCGATGCGTACACCGCGCCGTTTTGGTCGGCCCAGAAGTTCGGCGCATTGAAAGCCCCGCCCCCCGCATCCACGGGAGGGGGGGCGTCTATGCACCAAACTCCAAACCCTGGTGGCGGACCAAGACGGCGCGGTTATACGTCGGGGCCCTCCCAGCGTCGCCGCCGCCGCCGTCGCCAAGCGCGGGCGGCGCCGCGGCCGGGGCGGCCGCCGCCGCGCCGGCAGCCGCTGGGGCCGGCAGCGGGCCGCGGCGCGGGGCGCTCGCGCGGGGCGCTCCCGGCGGCGGCGGCGGGCGGCCGGCAGCCGGCCGCGGCGCGGGGCGCTCGCCGCCGGGGCGCCCGGCGGCGGGGCGGCGGCGGCGGGGCGGCGGCGGGCCGGCATCGCCGCCGAGGGAGAGGTGGGAGGGCACTGCGAGGATAGGAGAGGAGAGGAGGGGGAGGAGGGCGCGGGGGGAACGGAGGGAAGGAGGGGAGAGGAGAGGAGGGAGAGGAGAGAAGGAATGGAGGGAGGGAGAGGAGGGGAGAGGAGGGAGGGCGAGGAAGGGGGGGAGGAAGGAAGAGATGAGGGGAGAGCGGAGGCCGGACACCGCTGCTCAGGGGCCAAAATGGCTATAGGGAGAAGAGGGCGATGAGCGCGATGGGGGGCGATGATGGGGCGATGAGGGCGGTCGAGGGCCCGTAAGTTCGCGCTTCGCGCTGCGCGGAGCGCGAAACGCGAATAACTTCGCGCTCTCGCGCCGCCCCCCCCCCCTCCCCAAGGGGGAGAAGAGGAGGGCGAGGGGGGGGAGGAGGAAGGAGCCAAACTCCCTTCCGCCGCCGAGCTCCCTGCTGCTCCTTCTTCCTGCCGCCGAGCTCCCTTCCTCCTCTTCCTCCTCCTCCTCCTCCTCCTCCTCCTCCTCCTCCTCCTCCTCCTGCTATTCATTATGCTGCTGCTCCGCATCGTCGTCGCCGTCGCCATCGTCATCCAGCATCGTCGTCATCATCGTCCAGCTCCCGCATCGTCGTCATCGTCATCCATCGTCGTCATCGTCGCCATCGTCATCGTCATTCAGATCCCCCCTCCCGCCTCGTCGTCATCGTCATCCATCTGCCCGCCTCTTCCTCCAAACCACCATCGTCATTCATCTTCCCCCCCCGGCGGGTTCGGTCCTCCGCCGTCGCGTCCGCCGCGGCCAGCACCATGGGCCACGCGGCGGCCGCGGCGGACGCGGAAGGGAGGGAGAGGAGCCAGGGAAGAGCGCGGAAGGGAGGGAGAGGAGGGAGAGGGAAGAGCGAGGGAGAGGAGGGGAGGGACAAGAGGGAGAGGGAAGAAGGAGGGAGAGGAGGGGAGGGAGGGAGGAAGGAGATGATGGGAGAGCCCGGCCTCCGCCGTGCACCACAGCCAAAGCGGCTGTCGGCCCCCCCATCGTCGTCGTCGTCGTCCGTGTCGTCGCGTCGTGGTCGGCGCCGCCGCCCAGGGGTCAATCCTGGCCAGTGTTTCGAGCAGCGTCCAGCCGCGGCGGCGAGCAGCATTCCTCCTCCCCCCTCCCTTTTCGCCCCCATTAGCCTCCCTTTTCCTCCCTTTCGAGCAGCGGCCGATAATTCGAGCAACATTCCTCCTCCCTCTTCCCTTTTTCTCTCCCCTCTCCTCCCTCCTCCCTCCTCTCTCCGCTTCTTCTCTCCTCTCTCCCTCCTCGTCCTTCCCACGCCTCCCTCCCCTCTCACCCCTCCTTCTCTATTTTCTAGTTCTTCTTTCACCCTTCCCTCTCTTTTTCTAAATTCCCCCTATTTCCGCCTGTCAAAGTCCCACCGCACCCGCAAAGAGAAAGACCCCCCCAAAAAAGGGTGCGATCGAAGACAAAAAGGGCGGGTATCACATGAGTGGGGCATACGTGTTGAATGGCACGTGGAAAATGTTGCTGGCGGCCAATCACGTTAATTACCTGAGCCCATCTGGGGGGACAATATGTGGTCAACCGCTTCTCCTATTTATTGTATATGTGGTGTTTTTGGTCGCGGCTCGCTGGGTTGACGCTAGTGGCCCCAACAAGTGTATGTATGTATGTATGTATGTACGTATGCATGTATGTATGTATGTATGTAATGCATGCATGCATGCATGCGTACATGGACGTACGTATGTATGTATGTATGTATGAGTGTATGTATGTATGGTTGTATGTACGTGTGCATGTATGTACGTATGTGTGTATGTACGCATGTATGTATGTATGTATGTATGTATTTATGTATGTGTATGTATGTATGTATGTGATATACTTGTTATACGGATATATTCATGTATGTATGTGTGCGTGTATGTATGTATATTGGTACGTATGGTTGTAGATACGCGTGTGCATGTAAACGCAGATGTACGAATATAGCCATGTATGTATGTATGGCGGTATGTATGTATGGGTAGATGCATGCATGCATGTATGGATGCATATATGTGTATGCAAGTATGCATGCATGCATATATGTGTATGTGTGTATGTGCGTGCATGTGTGTATGCGTGGATGGTTGTACGCATGCATGCGTTTATGCATGTACGCATGTATATGTGTATGTGTGTGCATGCGTGTATGTGTAGGTATGCATACATGTATGTGCGGAAGTATGCGTGCATGTATATATGTATGTATGGATGGATGCCTGTCTGTGTATGCATAGATGCGCGCATGGTTACATAGATGTATGCATGCATGCATGTATGCATGTGTACATGTGTGCATGTATGTATGTATGGCTGGATGGACGAATGTATGCATGGATGCACGTATGTATAATGCATGCATGTACGTACGTGCGGAAGTATGTATGTGTGTTTGTATGTATGTACGTATGTATGTATGGATGGATGGATGTGTGTATGTGTGTCTGCACGCCTGTATCTATGTATGTCTACATATATAGATATACCTATACATCTATACATAGAAACGGTCGGGAACTGTTGCTTAGCGTGTCGCCGCGGCGACCCCAGCGACACGCGATGCCCTGCGAGCGGACAGCGTGTCGCTCCGCTCCGCGGGGCGGGAGGCTCGGAAAAGGCTCGGGACGTTGACGCTCGGGGACTGGGACGTGGATAGCATGTCGCGCCCCAGCGTGGTGGCCAGAACTGGCGGATCGACATGCTAAGCCAAAGTTCCCGACCGTATGTGGCGACATCCGAACCAATTCCCACCAACCATCGATTCTCCTTCATCGATTGAAGGCGGGGGTGATATTCGGATTTCGCCACGTGTTCGACGAATTCCGAACCCTAACCCCCGCCGCCCATCGAGCTGCCTGGACCCTTCATCGGCGTAGAATGGGTTCGGATTTCGCAGCGGGGCTCGCGTAGATGGGGTCGGAGGATCGCGCCGCATCGCCAATGCATCGGCGACGCTGGCGGCGCATCGGCGACGCCAGCGCGGAAAACATCGGGCCCTACAGCGAAGAGATCCTCCGACCCCACATGTGCTCCGACCCCAGATGGGAAGCCTCGACTAGCAGCCTCCGACGTTTTGTTCCCGAGAACGCACACACAACACTCTTGGCGCCGCGGCCGCGCGCGCAGCGACGCGACAGATTGCGGCACCGCCGGGTAACGTCCCAGGCTGAATTCACGTTCGCTCAGTAAATAACCCCTGCAAGGATCACGGACAGACTAGGGCAAATCAAGGGACATCCGCGGGACAACCGCGGCATAACCGTGGGACAACCACGGGACAACGACGCGACAAGCACACGACAATCACGGGACAACAGGTGAACAACTACGGGACGACCACGGGGCAGCCGCAGGACAACCACGGGACAACCAGAGGACAACCACGGGACAAACACGCGCCAATCCCATAGCCACCACCAGGCTTACAAGGAGAAACAATCCGATGACAGGCTGCCCTGAGAAGCCCGGGATCTGCCTCGCCCTCGCACAGCTTCGCCTCGCCCGCACGCACGCCCCGCACGACACACACCGAAACCAAAACCGGCTTCCAGGCAGGGGGACTGCGTTTCACTGCGACCTCACCCCCTACCTCTGATCGACCCCGTCGTTCGTTTGGACGACGCGCCGTTAGTATTTTGTGACAGCGGGGCCGACACTGGCCTCCAGAGGACCAGTTTGTGAGAAATCGCCTACCCTGCTCATGTTTGAACGGTGCCACAGGCTTCAGTGGGCGAGAGGTAAGGATACAGGGAACGAGCATGGAGATGGGAAGGAGAGAGGAAAAGGGGGAAGAAGCGGGGGGGGGGGGGGGTCCCGCGCCATAGGGGGCGCAAGTCTCCAGCTTAGGCGTCGCCGCACGCGCTGCCCGCGGCCCCCGCGGGGCCAGACCGCAGAGTTTTGAAGGAGGCACTGTCGATCGCGAAGGAGTCGTCGGCGTGCGAGGCGTCGACGGGGTTAGCCAGGTGGTGGTTGGACAGATCCACGTCTTCCGCACACGCAAGCACAGGGACGCCGCTCGCCGAACGAGCGCGAGACGGA